AACCGCGCACGCGCGAGAGTGAGGAAACGTAGAATATTTTTTAAGGCTTCTCCGCGAAGATATTTCTCCACGTTCGTCGCAGTGGTTGCGATGTAATTTACTGTGATATGACGAGTGAATTTAAACGTCAGTTTAGTCGATTATCTCGTTAATTATTTAGTTTGTTCAATGAAGTTTCTACGTCCGATTTAATTATTTTCTTTACTTTATAAATAGATCGAGCGCTCTTTTATCTATACCAATTTAAAGCTCTCCTCTTTTAATATTTCAACAATTTTACGTACATTTAATAAGTGTATTCAAATGTAGTTGTAATAATTTTGGAGAAAGATTCTAGTATAAACAGACAATAAGAAAAAATTCTTTTCCTGCGTATCGTTGCTATCATTATGTATATGATTAAAATATACGGCGTAACTAACACTGTATACAATTTATCCACTGCAATGTTACCATAAGTAACATTTCTGTAATATTCCTCAAAATGACAAAAACAAGAGGCGAATGAATTTATTATACAACGTAATGCTGTATATTCAACCACGATGGCAAATTTAAATATTTTCGAAATTCTCATAATTACGATTGATAGTGTCGCAAATTTAAAATTGATCGAAAATTCACGTAAAAAAGCAAGGGAACGATCATCGAATAACGATGACGTTGCAAAAGTGGCTCAGTCATTTTTTAGGCTCATTATTGGCAATGAATGGCAAACGAAGAATGGAAACGGATGTACCGCAGAGTCGCGTATAATCCTCGCGCGGTTCACATTTGTCGATACGTCATTAAATATTTTCCCACAATATGGTATTTATGCTGTGGCCACTGTTGCATATGCAAACAAACGCGATATCTGCATATTTCACTCGTACCAAAGCTAACTTTGCCGTTTACCACATCTCGATTGGTCGCCGCTACAGTTTTTCTAATTATCGAACGAACATCTCGTAACTCGCAATTCATCGAGGGCTGAAAAGATGACGATCTGTCTGCGATTGACTAAAATTTATTAGATCGGCAGATACACGAGAAGCAATTTAAAAATTGCGTGAACAACGTACAGTCAGGCAAAGCAACTATAAATATACTTCTTCGTAACATCGCAACTGCCATTTTCTCAGCTTCAAATACAAAGTGAATAAAAAGTTGTCGACGTTCGTAAACAATTCAACACCTTTATGGACGCTGAACTCTCTTCCTCTTTACAACTAAATCCACTACAATTTTAAAGACTAAAGCGAACCATCATTTACAGCAACCTCCTCGTGATGTGACTTCGGAAACTTGTGTTACTGTGCAATTTTTTGTACTTACGATGATACGAAGTAAAATAAATATAAACATTCGTGATGTTTAAAGAAAAAGAAGAAGAAGAAGAAAAAAAGAAAGACTGGAGTATCCCCTTTGCAACGATCCCTCAGGTAGCTGCATAATTATTTTCACGACAATTTTTTATTCGAGTGTACGTGTCGTTTTTCTCTTCTCGTCGAAACGTCCCGCGAAAATATCATCGGAAAAACTAGACGAGCAGAAGCAGAAGACGAACAAGGTTACCAGAAATAATGGGGAAAGTCGGTCAAGCGTCGGTGACGCGTTGCCTGTTCAGTGAGTGGGCGAATCGTCGTGGAACCACGTCGAACGATCCGATTCCCACGAGAAATACACCGGTGACCTTATTATTTCTGATAACAAACCGTCGATTCGTAACCGTACGTTCGAGGCTTTCGTCGGGAGGGGGGGTGAAATGGCAGCGAAATTCCGCAACGAAGCGACACAGTATACGCGTAATCGTTCCGACGAAGGCAGCTCGACGTTACGGTGGTCCTGGGGAGGAACGAAACGGTTTCCTCGTGACACGCTGTTCGACCGTATTTTCTTTAAACCACGCCCCACGTTCGGCCGAAACGGGATCGAGGGAATAGGGACACGAACGATTTATACGGGCAAGATTGCGTATCACTGCAGCCGCAAGAAATCCTGGGAACCTCGCAGCGGTGCGCGCTGCACCGATACAAAGAGGCTACTGTCTAGAAAGGTGGTTTGTTCCGAGACGAGCAGAAAGGAGAGAAGTCAATAGCTCGAGCTGCGGCAATCTCGAGTCTCCATCGTTTTGAAACTGCTCTATCGAGGCACCGAGAAAGGTTTCTTAACCCTCTACACCGTTTCTCTCGTTTCGGAAAAATGATTAAAGATATGATCGTCGATCGTGATTCACCTTTGAAAGAAAACAATCTTGGAAATCTTCTACGTACGTACGTGTATTCTAATTTTCAATTTGTAGATTTGAGTCTTTGATCAGTTTCTGTGTCGATTTGCTCTATTTAGGTCGAATGACTATCTAAGTTGAGACAAGACTATGTAAAATTGATTTGACGAATGTAGAAACGGTTCTTAGTATGAAAACCTCCCCAATAAGTAATTTCTCATATTCATTCACTAACAATTTCTTTGGAACGTGCACGATCCATCAAGTATCTCATAAGTCAAGTATCTCAGATTATCTATATAAAAAAAGAAAAAGCTCCAACATGGACTAAATACTCGAAAGACTTCCATTTAATTTCAGAACGTTTTCGAAAATCGTAGAAACTCGCGACAATTCTGTACCGTGAACGAGCAACTTCTTTCTTACCTTCGACACTAGACCGGATAAAGTTTCGAGAAGATTCAATCAAAAGGTCGAGAACGCCAGTCGAAGACGGCGAAACGCGGCTAGGAAAGTAATAGGAGAGACGATTCACCGAGAGTTGCCGGAGCTGCGAAACTAAAACTACGAGGATATCGTATCGTATCCCATACGAGAAGAAGGAAGGAAACAGAAGCCGATTAAACGCTTTCTCCGCTTTCTTCCACCCTATCTCCCCTCCTCTCCTCTCCGTGTTCGCCTTTTACATTCTGCCGGAGAGAAATTGAGCTGATGCGTTCGCCGAGTCCAGACGCGAGTCTCCGGGAGTCCGTGAGAGCGAGGGCAAAGGATAAGTCCATTGCGAATGCGTAAGCGAGTTACTGAAGTTCCCCGATGAAGAGGCTCAAAACCTGAGGTAATATCCTCCGGGCGCTTTCATCAACCTAGAGGAAAGCTAGACTAATACTCTCGATCTTCGTTACTAATGGAAACACATTAACTCGCGATAACACCGACAGCAGTAGAAAGTTCAGGCGTTCAGTGTTCGCGATGTTTAATTGACTGCGTTGGTAGGTGTAGATCGACTCGTTTCTTGAATCTAAGGAAGTTCAAATCTTGATTTGTTACGTATAAGTAATCCGTGGATTTTATTCATTAAAGCAAGAAATATTGAATGTATTCCTTCTATTTCTCTTAAATTAAAAAATATTTCTAGTTTCAATATATATGTGAAAGCATACATGAGTCTTCGATTATGTCTAGAACACAAACCTTTCTGTTTGGAAATCGTAAATATAAAAATTCGAGGATCGCGGCAAGATTAAAGTAATAACAAAAATGAAGATAAAATACCCTTTACCATTTTACCATTTTTTTTTTTTTTTTTGGTTTGTTTCTTAGTGAAAAGATTGACTTCATATTATATTTTGAAAATTTTACTCGCAGTTCATTAGTTTAAAGTCACTGTCGAAATCGTCGTTGCTTGAGAAATTTCTAATATATCGATTTTTTCGTCTTGTAAGGAAACGACCAGTTCCAGTTGCAGAAAGTTGGCCAACGAGCAGAGAGGAAGAGAGAGAGAGGGAAACGAGAAAAAGCGACAATGGGATACGGGGCGAGCGATGGGAGCTTGTTTCGAAGCTTTCTCGCTCCCTGGAAGGCCACTTCTGTCCTCTCGAGGGACGCGAAGTTGCCTCGGCTAATGCACGTTAATCGCACGGTAGCTGACGAACACTCCACAGACCCGACCCCCGTCGACGACATGAATGATTCAGCGGGCGAACACAAGGAACCGAGGGTCATTATTGTTATAAAGGGGCGAATGAATTTTACACGGTGCACGAGACAGAGACAGGCGGGCGCGCGATGACTGGCCGCTGGTTTCAAGTTGGGTCGCGTTTGAAATTGGCCAGACAATCTCAACGAAAAGTCCTCCTGTTCTCGCTACGACAGAAAATTGGTATCGTCGGCCGTGAGCAATGCGCTCACCGCGCAGATAGAAACCTTCGAAATTCGATTGACAGTGTGGTTTAGCCACATCTTGCGCTGGCAACTGATTGCGGACCATAACGAGTGACCAAAACCGTATACAATAATTCGTCGCTCTCTGTTTGAACTCGTCGGTACGATATCACTGGATAGAAATTATTCAGAAGTAATAAATTTATTATTTGTTTCGCCTGAGTTATACTTCAACTGAGGAAACATTGCAATTTTGGGAGAGAAAGTTCTCGACGTGCGTGGCACGTCATTCACAGCGCAAGAGGTTAAAGGCTAGCGAATAGAAAGAAAGGAGGATGATTTAGCTAAGGGTGGAAATCGTCTAAATTGTCACGGTCGTTCGTTCGGGTTCCTTTCTTTCCCCGTTTTATGAAATTCCTGTCGTAAGTCTCTCAGGTGAGTTGATTGGATTGGCCGGTCGCGGCAGCCGCATCTCGTAACCCTGTTTCCCGGCGACAGAAGCGACCGAGGATTTATAGTACTAGCCGCCGTATATCGATGCCGCAGCTTAGATTTCGAGTTGAACGGAGCTATAGGGCGAGCGTCGAATCGCGCCAATTTTCGCGCCAGCCTCGTTGAAACTTCCGATGCGCAGAAACGGATGAAACTTTATGAAATTCATGAGCGACGCCCCGAGAATCGGTCGACGTTTGGAAATCATCGCCGGGAGGTGCAACCACAGAGTATCTGGATAGAGGGGATTTTTCGTGAGAAGCTACGGATCTTCGTACGGTTCCCCAAGGCTTAGAAATTTTTAAGCTAGTAGACATCGTCGCGCGAACTCGACTCCAATCGCTTTCGAATTTGCGATGCGAGAGTAATACGAACGAGAGAACACGATTGGATGAAAAACTAGGTGGTAGCTACTCACCGACCGCGCCTCGACGTGTCCGACGTCTCACTGCATCTTCGTCCGCCAAGATTGGAATACCTGCAAGCACACCGAAAGAACGAAAGTTATATCCAGTAAATTCATAGCTGAGTGTCAAGATTGAAACTTCTTTAATAAATAAGTCATCAATTTAGTTGATCGTAAAATTGTTCGTGAACACATTGCACGATAGCACAATGTATACGATGTATCAAATTTGACTTAGGTCATCGTGCAGTTAATGAAACACTAAATGAAACTTGTGTAGTGGCCATCGATAAACGTCAAAGCCTCAACCTGACGAGAGATTTATTGAAAATAAACGAAGCGCCTAACTATAATAAAAGTACATGGTCTTCCATTATTGGTCACACATTTAATGAATTATTAGCAAAATGTACACGTTTATGAAGTGATTCAAAATGACCGTAGTTTGTAATTTTCCGTAAAAACTTTCTAGATCAATATTTTCTACATTGAACGACTTTTCTTAAAATATATAGATTAAGGCGCGTGTCTTTATCTTTGCTAAATATTTCACGCATTCTTCAACTTCCATGTCGCTTGATTAAATATTTCACGTTTCCAGCTGGATGCAAAAATTAAGAAAGTGTCCGCGTACCTTCGAGCAACTGGGGTGCAAGCGCGGTGAAACGATTCGTGATAGAAGGGGCACGGCGTCGCGATGGTGGAAAAGTATTTCAGGACGGGCGGAAGAAGAGGTAGCCGCGTTTCCATATGTATTCGTACGTTTCAGTCCGCTCGGCCAGCCGATACCCTTTTTTATCATTTTTACGGCCGAGCGGAAGGTCGTGGCGGAGGCGTCCGCATATTTACTCGAGCGTGCCGTGGCAATAAAACACAGGCCTGCCGCACAGATCCGCCTGTCCCACGGCTGCTTTCCGGCGTCGTATAATATCTCGCTCAGGAATTCGTAGAACGAATTCGCGAGACGCAGCCGTGCTGAACCGCGCCACGAGTCATACAATTCTGGTTCACGCGCGAAGACAACGCGGGATTGTATCGCGCGGCTGGTTGGAGATTTAACGACGAGGTTGTCAAACTACTCCTAACAGATTCATCGACAAACTCGGTGGGAATGCTTCGAACTGCTCGCGAACGCCCTTCTCGGTTCTCATGCTGAGTTATTCGATCTAATAACGAATTCATTCGACGACGCGGCGCAACATTACGGGGGTGGTTTCGCCAACTCGGCGCGAAATGCCACGGTCTGTTGAGACATTGTGGCGGAGGGAGAAATGCAATTTTCTGACCCTCGAAATTTCGTGGTGATCCTTACGTTTTTTTATTTTTAGTATTTAAAATTTTTAGAAATTATATCTATACGAATAACTCGAGTATTTGAATAATTGTCATTAATTTCTTGAACAGCTTTGTTATTACTTCACTACAGAATGTCTCGGTCCTTCAAAATAGTTCTTTCAACACACTTTAATTGATTTTGAATCCAGTTTTTGTAATTACACGTAGCGCGAGGAAATATATATCAAAAGTATAATATTTCAGTAACACTTGATTGCACTTGTACTTCTTTAGCAGGTATATTTATTCGACTGTGTTCCCAAATCAAAATTCGCGTTCGGCGAAAACATCTGCAACGTTACTTCAAAACCTGTGTCAGCCGATTCCGAGTTCTCACTTCGTCATTCAACAAAGTTTGCAACATCGACTTTCAAGAACACCGCAAACTTCCCCCGGCAATCCGATAGAACCGAGATAATAACCATAATTTATCTTTAACAATTGTTTCCTATTATTATTATTGAGAATATCCAACTTCCCGTTGCAAACTTTTCCCGAAAAGCGGAATTGCACCGAATGCCTCGCGCAAAGAGTGTGTCGACGGGATCGCGTTTAATTCGCCGAACAGCGCGCTCGCTTTCGAGCGTTGCCTGCCCCCCGTCGGAATAAGAGTTAAACCGGAATCGATCGGATACCGACTTACGCCGCGAATTTAATAATAGAAAAAGTTCGCAGCCTTACAAATTTAACAAGAAACTTCGGGCTCCAGGCGCCGCCCCGCTTTCGCAAGTTTCCCATCTTCCGTAGTTCGGTTGCCGGTGCGTTCAACCGGACGATCCAGGCAATCTCGACCAAAGAGATTCTACAGGGAATCGATATGTGAACGTCGGTTAGAGACTGAAGCGCGCTGAACGACGCTCACGTTTTGCCTCCTCCTGTTTCGAATCGTTCAATTAACCGAACGTTTCATTTCTCTTTTTTTCTTTTCTTTTTCCCTTCCACCGCTACTGCACGTTTCTTTCGCGGTGATGTTAATTAAACGAAGCGAGCATATTCCATCGGGGCATGTCACACACGATCGGAAACTTACTTTAGTCCTGCGTGACTATCAACGTCGAATTAAATTGGATAGTTTCTGGAAACGTAATCTGTCTTTAATCACAGGGTAATTCGAGCAACCAGCGTAAGCACTAAGACAGAAATCTTAGTCGAATAAAACACGTTCTGAGCTACGATACTCGTCTACAAGACGTAGTTCCGACCTTCACGCCGCAGACCGTTCAATTCCCAGCGAATTATCTCGTTTTAATCGCGGGTAACTTGAAACCCACTCGAGACGCGAACGTCTTAAACTTTTTGTCCCAAAATTTCAATATTTTCTCACTTTTTAAGTATAATTTAAGTATAACCCAAGCAAAACAAATAATAAATTTACTACTTCTCAATAATTTCTATCCAGTGATGTCATACCGACGAGTTTGAAAAGAAAGCGACGAATCATTGTATACGGTTTTGGTTACTCGTTATGGTCCGCAATCAGTTGCCAGCGGAAGGGGTTAATGGACAGAGACACTATAATATCCACAATCACGTCACGTGGTCGCGAGCCGTGCAAAATAGAAAAATTCCAGAGAATTACGGCCCTCTCCAATCGCTCGTCCCTCGGGAAAGAAAGCATCGCGTGGCTTTTTGTCTCTCACTTATTTGCTTCCTTCGCGCAAACAGAAAGACGCCGAGACGGACGAGAGCGTGGACGCGGAGACAAATAGGCGCGGCAGAGAAGCAAGCTGTGTAGTAATCCGACGACGTCGGTTTCTGGGTCGGTTGCACCCAGGATTGCGGTTCCCAAGCGGCATTGTCCGCCGCGGAAGAAACGAAAATTACGCGCCCACCACCCCCTTTTCGTTCCCACCGCATTCAGTCGCCTCGCGAGATGCTTTGTTTCCTCCGCTTCCTCTTTCGCGCTGTCCTCCACCGTTCGACCGTCCCTTTCCGGTCGAGAGAGAGAGAGAGAGAGAGAGAGAGAGAGAGAGAGAGAGAGAGAGAGAGAGAGCGATGACACGAGGTCGTCTGCCTCTACGTCCCAGACGCGAGCGATAGAACCAGAGACCTCGGCAACCGAAATCACGCCGACCAATGGAGAGACAAAGCCGAGCAGATCCAGGGACGAGAGAGGGCTATCTTTCAGAGAGAGACAAACAAGCGGAAAGGGCAGAAGGTCAACCAGCGTTGAAGAAAAAGACAGCGCTGACACGCGTCTACTCGTTGCGAAAGAGTTGAGACGTTGAGCGATAGTCAGAGAGCCGAGAGATTCGAGCAACGAGAAGGCACGAGCGGTCGCGTGCCACGACGTCTCCGGCAAGCAGTTTTTGCCTGTCTCAGCACGCGCCTTCCCGTTGTCTTCTTGTTCTCTCCTCCTTCTCTCCCATTCCTCTGTAATATGTTTGACTCGGAAGTTACACACCGGCATATCCGCAGTTTGAAAATTTGCTTCGGTTCGCTATTGACTCTCATACACGTCATCGTCATTAATTTGTTAATTGTCAGATTTTAGACTGACATGTGCGAAGTGTGGTCTTTCAAATTCGTTGCACAGCTGTTACGTTTAATCAAAAGGAATTGATTCTACTCTTCCAGTTAATAAACTACAAAGTTGTAAGAATTGCTTTGTACATTGTAAAAATGTCCCTAATCGTTTCCAAACTGTATGTTACAAATTTGTAATAAGATTATTAGATTATAAAATAAATTTATAATATAATTTATAATAATAAGAGTTCGTAAGGAACTCGTTGTCAATGCCAAGTACACGTGTTTCACGACGAAAGTTATTAGATTATAAGATAAATTTATAATATTCGTAGAGACTTCTCAATGCCAAGTACACACGTTTCATGACAAATTTTCCTCTTCTTCGGTGTTGTTCGATAAATTCAAACTTGGAGAAAAACGACGCTGACAGTTGCAATTAATCATTCCTTCCTCTTGCGAGTAAACAAAATTCTAATTACAGGCAGTTAAGTGGCACTCCGGATCCACTTTCGCCTTCCTCGCCGAGACGAATTCAACTCGGTTTTTTTCCGTCTTGCCTGGTTCCAATCGGAACTGGGTCCGTTCGTCAACGGTGCTCGACATCGAAAACAGCGCCAGTGTCCAGTGACCGGGAATCGAATTCGATCGATCAAGTCAATGGAGTTTCCCCCATCCAGTAACCGAATTAGCAGGGAAATTTAAGAATTAAGCGCGATTCCTTTCCCCGTATCGGGCTCGCGCTGACGCCCGCCGAGTTAAATTACGAGCGGTAATCCCCTCCGAGCGGAGGCTGTAACTATTCCCGCCGGAAATCTAATTTTTCCCGCGAGACCCGCTCAAGTATCGAGCGTAATAATTAAAACTGCAAATTCTTGTACCCCGGGGGCCAGAGAAGCGTTCGCGAGAGTCGGCAAGAAACTAACGAGACGAAGGGTTGAAAGAGGAATCGAGAAGGATGCTCTACGAGTGTTATTAGCGCGATCGAACTTTGTGCCCCTCTCTCTCTCTCTCTCTCTCTCTCTCTCTCTCTCTCTCTTTCTCTCTCCTCTCGTTGAATTTCAATCGAGAATGGAAAGCATCAGCGGTCGGGATGGAATAGCAGGAAGAATAATTCAAACGTGTAAAATCATTTCAACCGGCAGCGGTTCGTTAATTATCGCGATCGAATCGCACGAAGTTGGACAAACGGCATCGGTGATTAGGAATCTGTAATCCGCGTGAATATCGTGGTCGAAAAGTGATTGCCGATAACGGCGCGAGAATAC